CTAGTAATAAATAATCTCCAGTATCTATATAGTATAGAAATTATTTCAGACCTTTGGCACAATCAATATTTTGACTCCGGTCAGTTTCATTGCTAAACTTCCTTCTGTTCTACTTTTCCCGACGTGTGCTACAGAAACAACGGCCCGAGATGTAACTGTGGACTACAGCTTATGTTGAAAATTAGATTAGAATCAATGAAATTAAAATATTTTAAAAGGTTAACATGAAAGAATCAAGATGAGCAAAAATAGTATTTATTTACGAAAAGGTTATTCGTCCGCGACTGTGCAAATAACAGATTTATTTCCACTTCTAGTATTCGCCCAGTTGTCAAATCAACCAATGGAATCACCTATTATGAAATTGAGTATATATATATAGCCAATCACATCTCTCCTTCTTTTGTCGTAATGGCTTTGGTAGTTTTGAAGTAGCAAAAATTCAATCCTGAAATACAACAAACACTGAGTGGCATGCTAAGTCTGTTCATTGCAATGTTCTTTTTTCTCTGCTTCTTACCAGTTAGGGTTATAAAATTGTTTAAAATTACAAATGTTACTTTTTTCAAACATAACGTACACTGGACATGACTGTGCACCAATAAAATAATGCAAGATTGCGAGTGATGTCATTGTACCACGAAATCCAAATCCGCGCTTGGGATGTTTGCTAGTGCTCACACACAATCAAGAGCTCGGGATGGCAGTACGCCAGTTGCTGTCTCCGGTTGGTGAAACTCCTCTGTTTTTAAATCAAGAGTTTGAGAATTTTCATGAATTGAAAGATGCTATCCGATGTTTCCAGGCAAAAACCAATTTTCTTTTAGTCAAAGGCAACGGAAAGACAGTGGTCGCTGCCAACCGAAAAGTGTCGGACGGCAGAAAAGAATATCCTGATAAATTTGTCTATGCATCAGTGATGTACACATGCAAACATTTTGGTCAACCAAGAAAAGAGGGTCGTGGGATACAAGTGAGATTAGTTAGATTTTGAAATGCTTACAAAATACAACTTTAAAAAAACATCGCTCATTCGGGTTTTAGGTCATTCTGATATAAGGATCAGGTGCAGTTCCAATAATTAACACAAAACTGGGTCAAGGGGACGAATAGTGGAAAGAGATCTTTTATTCACACAGCCGTGGAGTGAATAGTGGAAATAGATTAGGATCAGGATTATTTTACTTGCTGATATTGATGACATACAGTGTAAAACATGTTGAAAAAGTGACATGCAATTTTAACGAATTGTGGTAAAATGATGTAACAGC